ACTCGTTATTTTGTTGTACTTGTTTTTTTGAAACATTTTATAAAATAAACGAAGCAATTTATTAATATTGGTCAACAAAAACAATGTAAGACGGATAATTTTGTGTAAATTATCAGAAGCGGTAAAAGGGCGCTGCACATGTCCGTTATAATTTCTCGTGTTTTTTAGCTTTTTTTCACCAAAACCTCAATTATTTGAGGCAAATTGAAACTTTGGTTATAATTGTGTGTAATTTTATCACTAAATGGTAGTAAAGCGGTTTTTCCCGCCGTGCAGAGAAATGTTAAAAAAGACTGGGAGGATACTGTGGACGATCCGAAAGTGCGGCAATCATTTCTGTATTGTGAATAAAATCAAGTTTATTGTGTGTTTTTGTATGTTATTCAATACATTTGGTTAAAAAATATTTGTATGCCGAGAAAAAACACACTATTTTTTCACTATTTTAAAAGGCAATATTTGGTTTTTGGATAAGTTTTTATAATAAAACAATAAGAATTTGGTTACGAAAAGACAAAAAAAGATCTAAAGCGGTTTTTCGCCACCGTATTATTTTTTATTTTAAAACTCGGCAAAATGCCAAAAAACGTTATTTTTCTATACAATAAAACAAGTAAATGGTAGTGAAGCGGTTTTTCCCGCCAGCAAAAATGCTTGCCCAAAAGTGCATTTCAATAAAAATTGTGAAAACATCATGGAGATAATGACTGTTATCAGCCCAATACCTTATTGAGAAGACATGGTGCCAAAGTGAAAGTTGATGTGTTGTTTATCTTAAATGTGTTGTTATACCTTTATTTACTAATTACAAAAAAATGATAATCAACAACTAACTTACTATTTAATGGACTATATTGTTCATTTTATTACAGTAAATATATGTAACATTTTGGGATATAAGCACACACTTTTATAAAGAAGAACAAAATAACTATAAAAATTAATAAATTTATTATAATTTATACTATAATTTATTTCAAAAATTGAATCAAATGGTGGGTCTGAAAAGTAATGAAAACTACTCAACACTTGATAGTTCAAAAGAAATACACAAAGATAACCACGGCTTCGATACTTCGTGTCAAATGAATCAATTCATGATCATTCTATGGGTGTCATGCAATTAAGGTTGACAATAAGAAAAATATAAGTAATCTTTTTTAACTATTTTATAATAGTAAATAAACTATTTTTTAACCAGTTTTTCAAAAATACTATTTTAGTTACATAAATGGTTAAATTATAATAATTAATAGTTTTTAAATATAATTATTTATAAATCTAAATTTATTTATCGCAACATCAATTATTTAAATTGATTAAAAATAATATTAATAAACAACAAATTTATTAATTAATAACAAAGTTATTTTTCATTTGATAATATACAAGTAAATAATAAAAACAATTCTTTAACTTTACTAACAATAAAAATTAAAAAAGTCTTTTATCGCAACAAAAAAGTAACTATAAAATTTTTAGATTAAAAAAACTCTTGTTAAATTTCGAAATAAAAATAATAATTAATCTATAAAATTTAACAATAATATAAAAAACAATATCAATAGCCTATTTAATAAACTCTTTTATAAACCTTTTTAAACAATGTCCCAACCTTCTTCCAAGCCCCCTCAATTAAAGAAAGAATATAAAAAAGGTTCCGAAAAACATGAAAGTTTGACAATGATTGGTCTGAAAATTCCTGTTAGTCAAAGGGCTGAACAATACCTAATTAATTGCCCTATTATTTTCAAAGCTTTCCAAGACCTTGAGATAAAAATAAAAAAAGAATCTTTTCCCACTTTTAGAGAGCAAGTGCGGTTTTCATTAAATGATCTTTCTAATGTGCCAATTAATGAGTTTAAAGGAACTAAAAAATCAATTAGAGTGGCACTTGAGTATTTTTTCGGGACTTTTAAGGAATCGGGTGTGAATTCCCAAATTCAAAAAATACGAAAAGAAGACAAAAATGGAAAAATTTCGGAAAAGGGAAGAAAACGACTTCTTTCAGACGAAGAAGTTCTTAAAATAGCAGAAGAAACGAAGGAAACCAAAAAAGCGAAACCAGAAGAAATTGGACTTTTCATGTTTGAAAATTTCGGCAAAACAATGGGAACAAGGCAATTAAATAAAGTCCTTAAATTAATCCCAGGAATTGAAACAAAAAAGGCCCAAGTTATGGAAACAAAACGAGCAGAGGTATCACAAACTGCCATCCTGCAGTATTACTCGGAATTAAAAAGAAAATTGGATGGATGCAGATTTGAGCTTGTTTTTAACTTGGATGAAGTTGGATTCGATGAATGGGTTGATTCAAGAACCCGAGTTGTCTACGTGTCAGTCGAATCAGGGGAACAAGTTTTTGACGAAGTCGACAGAGATGGTTCTAGAACGAGTCTTTTGTGTTGTGGTTGTCTGGATGGGACAAAAATGATACCCCTTGTTGTTACCAAAAGACTCACCATCGAAGACAAGCTAATTGTGGAACTCAAGAGTCGTGCTATTATTAGATACCAAAAATCGGGTGTTCTAAATACGCAATTGTACCCCTTGTGGCTCAAACAAGTGTTTTCCCGAATATAAGAAAAAAG